CCCGGCCCAGGGCAGGGGGCCCAGGGCAGGAGGAGCCCCCCCGGCCCTCCGCCCTCCGGCGGCGCCTTGTGCACATTTTCCTATTTCCTGTGAACCTCCGCCCAGCGGGGCGGCCGGTGACTCAGGACCCCGGCGGCCGGGCCCCCAGCTCCACGGGACCTTTGTTCGCTCGGCCCTTGGCTCGGCCCCGCCGCAGCCGGCAGAGGATTTCCTGCGCCCCACCCTGCGCCCGGGCTGCCTGAGGCCCGGCGGGGGGGTCCCCGAGCCCGGGAGATGGACAGCCCGGAGGTAGGGGCCTGGAGGAGCCCCTCGGAGGGGCCGGGCCCCGGCTGAGGTCAGCGTTGGCACCGCTGGTTCGCAGTGGCCCGGGAGGGAGGTTTCCCTCCTTGCTCCCGCCGGGGGCGAAGCGGTGGGAAAGCGGCTGCTTCCTCCCGGGAGCTGAGCTGGGGGCAGCCCCCCGAGACTTTCCCGGTCCTTCTGCGTCCCTCCCCGGCTCGGCCCCGGCCCCTCCTCGGGCCTCCAGCTGCCCCCTGACCTGGAGGGAATCCTTAGCCTGTTTTCTGGCCCAGGTCAGAGCCTGAGCCCCAGCCTGAGAGCGGCGGCCCCCGAAGCGCGGCTGGCAGGGCCCAAGAGGCGGTGGCCAGCGGGCAGGTCGCCGGACCTCTCTCTGTGCCTCAGTTTTCTCGCCTCGACTGCGAGGGGGCTGGTAACTGCACCCACCGCGTGGGGTTGCTGTCGGGGTTGACGGAGTCTCGTAGGCAAAGCCTTGACCGGGGACCCTGGCCGCCCGCCGCACCAGGCCCGCACCAGGAACCATTTCCCTCTCACCCTTCTCGGAGCCGAGGACAGGAGCCTGGGCCGCAGAAATAGCCTTGGGGTTTCCACCCGGCCTGGGGATACTCCCTCCGCAGTCAGCCGGGCTTCGGGGGCCCCCTGTGCGGGTCCTGGGTGCCATCCGCGCCTCCCTCGCCCACGGCCTGGTGCGCGGAGGCTGGTGGCAGCGGGCACTGAGCGGCCTGCTCCTTTGCCAACCCACAGCCTGGCGAGGGCCAGCAGCCACCCGGCGACGAGAAAGAGCTGATCCGCCGGGCCATCCAGAAGGAGCTCAAAATCAAGGAGGGTGTGGAGAACCTGCGGCGGGCGGCCACAGACCGCCGCCACCTGGGCCACGTGCAGCAGCTGCTCCGGTCCTCCAACCGCCGCCTGGAGCAGCTGCAGGGGGAGCTCCAGGAGCTGCATGCCCGCATCCTGCTGCCAGGGCCCCCGGCTGGTGAGCGCAGAGGCCGGGCAGGCCCCTGGGGACGGGGCCCCGGCCAACCCAGCTCCTGAGCGCTGACCCTGCGCAGCCGCCTCAGGCCGCCCCTGCCCAGGAGGGGAGGGAGGAGACGGCTGGACCGCAGGTGAGGGGCTCACAGGCGCGTGCCCCACGCGTTGTGCACAGAACCTGCGGCCCCGGGACCCCGGGCTCCGGCGGAGCAGTCACGGGCCCGGCAGCTGGAGGCTCTGCAGAAGCAGCTGCAGGTGGAGCTGAAGGTGAAGCAGGGGGCCGAGAACATGACCCACACCTGCGCCAGGGGCACGCCCAAGGTCAGGCTCCTGGGCCCTGACGGGGAGCCGCTTGGCGCTCGGGTTATTAGGGCAGGTGCTGTTCCAGCTCCTATTCGGAGAGGGAAATGCCACCCAGTGGGTGACCCTACAAGGGACGGACAGTCGGAACCCTTAGGCTGATGGGGAAGGCATTGTCCCAAGTCCCAAGTTGGTGGGGAAGGCCCGGCTCGATCCCCTAGTGTGACAGAGAAGACACGACACTGAAGTTCCCAGCCTGGTCGAGGAGGCCCAGCCCGCCCCCAGCATGAAGTGGGAGGCTCGATCCTGACGCACTGGAGGGGGCTTCACCTCAGCCCTTATCTGGTCTGATGGGGGAGGCTCTGTCCCTTCCTAGTCTAACAAGGGAGGCTTCTCTCTTTATCTGGCCTCCTGAGGGAGGCTTGGCTTCAACCCTGGCCTAGTGGGGGAGGCTTGGCTCCGGTCTGACCAGGGAGGCTCTGGGCCAGCTGATGTCAGGACCCTTTAGGAGAGGAAGCTCCTGGCAGCTGCCCAGCAGATGCTGCGGGACAGCCAGCTGAAGGTGGCCCTGCTGCGAATGAAGATCAGCAGCCTGGAGGCCAGCGGGTCCCCTGAACCAGGTGAGGGGACCTGAGAGGCGGGGATGGGCAGGGCGGAGGAGGGCATGGGCCTGAGGGCTAACCCTCCTTCCAGGTCCTGAGCTGCTGGCGGAGGAGCTGAGGCATCGGCTGTGCATTGAGGCCGCCGTGGCCAGAGGGGCCAAGAATGTGGTGAAGCTGCTGGGTGGCCGGCGAACACAGGACCGCAAGGCGCTGGCCGAGGTCAGACCACCGCGGACTCCCCTTGGCGCTCCTCTCCCCTTGTTCCCATGCCCCCCTCTGCGGCGGCAGGGAGCGCCGTGGACTGGCCGCGCCGGGTGGCAGCAGGGAAACGGGAGGCTCATTCTGTCTAAACCCCATTGGGGTGGCCTGAGGCAGTGTCCCCACGCCCCATACCCCACGGGCCTTGTCCCCTCTGCAGGCTCAGGCCCAGCTCCAGGAGTCCTCCCAGAAACTGGACCTCCTGCGGCTGGCCTTGGAGCGGCTGCTGGAGGGCCTGCCTCCTGCCCACCCTCTGCGCGGCAGAGTGGCCCGGGAGCTGCGGACTGCGGTGTCTGGGAGCCCCCAGCCTTCAGGGATGCTTGTAAAGCCAGTCGCCTTGACAGGTAGCCAGGGGTCCCTCCCGCTTCAGAGCTCTTACCCTCCCAGAAAGGACTGAAATAAAGCTGGGAAGGACTTTGGAGAACGGTCCCAGTCCTGGCCCCGCCACTCCCTCCCTAGCTGTGAGGCCTGGGGCAATCGCCATCCTTTCTCCAGACCTGTTTTCCCACCTGTAAAATGGGGGCAATGACAGCACTGACTTCGCTCTGCGGGCACAGTTGGCCCTCTGTCCCTGAAGCTGTTGTTTAAACGAGTAGCCATGGTGATGCTCGAGGCGCCAGTGTCAGGGAGCTCCCAGCCCCGGCGGCCTTGGTGCCCAGTCCTGGGCGGCGTGGACTATTACAGAGTTCTTTTTATCCCAAGTTGGATCTGTCTCTGTATAGCGGCAGCTGAGCTGCAGTCAGTAGATAATCTCAGAGTACAGACTTGGGAGCCCTGAGCTTCCCACCTGGGACACAGCACCAACTAGGGGGCCGAGCGCCTTCCTGCCCGAGCTGGTGCAGGGCACTCAGGCCGCCTCCCACCGTGAGCAGAGCTGAGAGGGGGAAGTACAGGGGCCGGGTGGGCCCCTCACCAGGCCTTGGGAAATCAGGAATGCTTCCTGGAGGAGGTGGTGTCTGAGCTTGGCCTTGCAGGGCTTGTGGGATTTGGCCAAACCGATGGGGTGGGGAAGGCAGGGGAGATGACCTATTAAAAGGCCTAGAAGTGAGCTACTTGGGGCCACTGCCTTTCCTGGGTCCTGGCTAAACACCTTAGTTCCTCGTTCCTCCCACGATAATCTTCCAGCCCGGGCCGCTGCCTTCTTTATAAGGTCCCTCAGAGTGTAACCCCCAGGCCTGGGCTCCCTAAATGATGTTCTTTGGCCCAGTCTATTTCCTCCAGAACTGCTAGAGCCCTGCTGCTTCCTCTATCCTCTGAGGGACAGAAGTCTAGTGACCCTAAAATTGAGTCCACTTGTTTGGCAAAACACCCTTTGTCTCCCTTTGGGAGGTGGGACGGAGCCGAGACTCATTTCCTCTGTACAGATGGGGAAATTGAGGCCCAGGGAGGAGGGTGAGTAAGATAGGCAGCCAGGCTTCCAGCTCCGCGAGCTCTTGTCTGTGCCATGGTGCCCCCCAGGTGCCGGGCCCTGGGCAGCCTGTCATCACGCCCTACGGCTCCATGTGGCCTGGCTGAGGCCTGAGTCTTATTTCTCCGCCTGTGGGTCCCTGCTGCCCCCAACACATGGACAGTGCTCAGGAGAGGAAGGCGAGCTGGTCGGCCTGGAGGCTGGCAGGCGGCTGCCAGGGCCTAATGTGGGAGGCTCTGGGGTCAGCCGTCTCTAGGAGAAGGTTGTGTTTCTGGGGCTCCAGGGGCCCACAGGTGGCGGCAGAGGGAGGACCGCACCTGATGACGTCCCCCCTCCCCCCGTGTTCCCACAGGGACGCTGCAGGTCCACCTCCTGGGCTGTGAGCAGCTGCTGACAGCCGTGCCCGGCCGGTCCCCGGTGACCGCACTGGCCGGGAGCGCCTCCCACGGCTGGCTTCGGGGCAGGGCCAGGCAGGAGCGTGGCGGAGGCGAGCTGGCCAGTGAGTAAGGGGCTGCAGGGAGCTGGGGGGCAGCAGAGGACCCCCACTCCGGGCCTTCCCTGAGCCCTGGCTCTGGCCCCGCAGGTGAGGTGCTGGCTGTGCTAAAGGTGGACAATCGCGTCGTGGGACAGACGGGTTGGGGGCCGGTGGCCAAGCAGTCCTGGGACCAGACCTTTGTGATGCCCCTGGACCGGGTGAGGCTGGCCCTTGGGAGGCCAGGGGTGACTTTGGAGCGCGGGGTAGAAGGCCGGCCCCTTCTTCAACCTGGCCTTTCCCATACAGGCCCGGGAGCTGGAGATCGGGGTGCGCTGGCGGGACTGGCGACAGCTGTGCGGCGTGGCCTTCCTGCGGCTGGAGGACTTCCTGGACAACGCCTGTCACCAGCTCAGCCTCAGCCTGGTCCCGCAGGGGCTGCTCTTTGCCCAGGTGCCCGCTAACCCCTGTCTTCTGACTTTGTGGGTTCCTGGCTCCATCAGAGGAGTGGAAAGTGAGGCCTGGAGGGAGGAGGTCTCCAAAAAGAGATTCCCAGGCCCCCTCTGAGGACCTCATGGGAGTCTAGAGGCCCGTGTCCTTGGCCTGACTGCCCTGCTTCCTGTGGGACCTGAGACAAGTGCCTCTCTTCTCCAGGCCTCAGTTTCCCCGCTGGGGTCAATGAGGACATCGAATCGTCTCTCTGGGCCTTCTGGCTCTTGCGTCGTGGACGTGGGGGAGGCGGGGGCGCAGGCTGGGATCCTGGCGGCTGGGGAGGGAGGGGACTGGCCTTCAGCCCTGCCTCCTGCCCCTGCAGGTAACCTTCTGTGACCCCGTCATTGAGAGGAGGCCCCGGCTACAGAGGCAGAAACGCATTTTCTCTAAACGCAGGGGTACGCACAGGACAGGGCTGTGTGTCCTGGGAATGGGGCAGGGGCGTCGGGGCCCTGGGACTGAACCCCACTGTTGCCCCAGGTCAGGACTTCCTGAGGGCGTCCCAGATGAACCTCAGTGTGGCAGCCTGGGGGCGCTTGGTCATGAACCTGCTGCCTCCCTGCAGCTCCCCAACCACGATCAGCCCTCCCAAAGGGCGCCCCCAGGCCCCCGCCTCACCTCGGGGGGCTGCCAGCCCTGCCTCACCCAGGTGAGGAGCCACCCTCCGCGCCTGCCTGCTTCCCTGCAGTGCCCGCCCCTCGGGTGCCATCGGCGTCCCTTTCCCTCTGACCCTCTGTCCCTCTCTCAGCGCGGCTGTGTGTCCATCCCCCGGCTGTTCTGCCTGCCTGTGCCCCCACCATGTGTGTGCTTCCTCCCCGTAGTCATTTCCCACCCAAAAAGACTCTCCTCCGAGAAGAGATGAGGCCCCCCCCCAAGCCCCCCCGCCTCTACTTGCCCAAGGAGCCAACGCTCGAGGAGACGCCGGTGAGGGGCGCTGGGAGCCCTGGGGGTGCCGGGCTGGAGGTGGCAGAGCCGGAGGGACAGAGGAAGGAAGCCCTGCTCTGTCCTGAGCCCCTCTGCCCTCACAGCGCACCAAACGCCCCCACATGGAGCCCAGGACTCGACCCAGGGCATCTCTGCCAGCCTCAGCCACCAGGTACACGCTCCCCCCAGCTCCCCTTCACGGTTAAGACGGCGCCCACTTACTGAGCGCTTCCCTGTGCCCACTCGGACATCACCCGGGCTCCTGGGCCTGTTACCTGCTCGCGCTCAGGTTCTCACTCTCCGAACCAACATTATTGAGCTCCAGCTGTAGGCCGGACTCTAGACAACTGCTGGCCTGGGAGCCCCCAGCCAGGCTCCCCAGCCCCATGCGTAGGGACAGGCCAGGCCTGGGCACGAAGGGTTTGGAGTGGTTCTTGGTGGATGGAGGCCCGGCCCTTGTCCAGGGGCTTCCTCTGCCCTCTCTCTCCTGCAGGAAACCGCTCCGGCTCCAGGACTTCCGCTGCTTGGCCGTGCTGGGTCGGGGACACTTTGGGAAGGTAGTGGACAGGGAGGGTGCGGCCGGGTGGGGGGACAGCCCTCAGCGCATGAGCTAGGAGGACGCTGTGATCGTGAGGTAGCAGGTGGGAGAAGGAGAGGCTCTTCTGTGCTGCCCAGCTGGAGCCCACCCTCTCCCTGGTCCCCAGGTTCTCCTGGTGCAGTTCAAGGGGACAGGGAGATATTATGCCATCAAAGCCCTGAAGAAGCAGGAGGTGCTGAGCCGGGACGAGATGGAGAGGTGTGTCGTGATGCCAGGGGGCACCTGGTCCTGCAGGGTGCCCAGCACGGCTGGCCTGGGCTGTTGGCACCAGAAGGCAGCCGAATGCTCCCAGGGCTCTGAAGGGGTCGATCTGGGGCCAGCCAGGCCTGGGCTCTTTTTATTTAGCACCTGCAGTTAACGGTGTGCCCGTGGGCAGGTCCCTCCTCATCTCCGCACCTCAGTTTCCTCATCTGTAAAATGGGATAGTGGTGGCTGTGCAGGTTAAATGACCCGTGCGAGCCCCTGATCCATAGAAACCGTCACTGTCCGTAGCTGCCCAGCCCTTTGACTGGAGACGCAGCGAGGGTGGGTTGTCTTGTGGGTGGCGGGCGCGGCTGGCAGAGGCTTCCCTCCCTCCTGAAGCCCACCCCTCCCCGCAGCTTGTACTGCGAGAAGCGAATCCTGGAGGCTGTGGGCCGCACGGGGCACCCCTTCCTGCTGTCCCTCCTGGCCTGCTTCCAGACCGCCAGCCACGCCTGCTTCGTGACCGAGTTCGCGCCGGGCGGCGACCTCATGATGCAGATCCACGAAGACGTTTTCCCTGAGCCCCAGGCCCGGTGGGTCTCCGTCCCCTTGTCTGCCTCCGACAATGAGCCTTCCCTGTTCCCCGCGCCCGGGCCCCCCTCACCCTGCTGCTTCCAGGGAGTTGGGGGGCCTCCGTTCAAATCCTGGTTATCAGCTCCCAGCATTTGTGACCTCAGGCCTCTGTTTGTGGAGCTGTGAATCCCAGCGATAGTAACTGTTTCACAGGCTTCTCACGTAGATAAGAGTAACGTTTACGAATTGCCGAGCGTCGGGACCGGTGGATAGTAAGTGACTGGCAGCTGGAGTTCTTTTTCTTAAAAAATATATATATTTTTATTGATTTCAGAGAGAGGAAGGGAGAGAGAGAGAGAAACATCGATGATGAGAGTCATTGATCGGCTGCCTCCCGCACGGCCCACCCTGGGGCTGGAGCCCGCAACCCGGGCACGTGCCCTGACCGGGCGTCGAACCGCGATCTCCGATCTCCTGGTTCATAGGTCGACGCTGGCTGCTGGGAGGAGGCGGGGAGAATAGGCACGAGAGCTCCACACGGTCCCCGGCACCACCCGCGATCCCAGGAAGGGCAGCTGCCAGCTGGCAGCAGCCTCGCGACAACCTTGGGGCTGTTGTCTGGAGGAGCCCCGCCCCCCGCCTGAGGGTGGGCCCAGTCTCTCGCCCACATCTGACTCTGGCTGGGACACCCAAGGGTCCCCAGGCCGTGGCCGTCCTGATGGCTCCCTGCCCTCCCTCCACTGTCCGGGGCCTAAACTTCCCCTAAACCCCCCTCCAGGTTCTACCTGGCCTGCGTGGTCCTGGGGCTGCAGTTCTTGCACGAGAAGAAAGTAGTTTACAGGTAACTCACCCCTGAGATGCTGGGGGAGGGCGGGGGCAGGTGCCGCTGCTCCCGGGGCCCCTTTGACCTGCCCCCCTCACCCCCAGGGACCTTAAGTTGGACAATCTTCTGCTGGATGCCGAGGGTTTCCTGAAGATTGCGGACTTTGGACTATGTAAGGAAGGTGGGTGTCTCCTGTCCAGGGTCCGAGGCCTCCAGCCTTCCTCACCCGGTCCAGGCCAGCAGGGCGGTGGGCAAGTGGCACTCTCCCGGGGAATCTCCCCACCCCCACCCGGGGTCCACGGACCAGCTGGACACACTGGTGCTTCCGTCCCAACCCTGCAGGCCCTGAAGAGCCCTAGCTTGCCCTTGGCCCAAGGGACAGCCTGTGCTCAGAGCTGGGGGAGGGCACTGGGCTCTGCTTCCTTCACGACCTTGGCGTGGGAGCGTGGCTGAGACTCTGCCCTTCTCCGTTAGGTGGCTTGAAAACCGGCCCCCCTCCAAGAATTGGGGCTGGGCCGGGCACAGATTCGGTACATGGGGGCACGAGGGTCGGCTGTTGTTTCTTTTTTTTCTGGTACATTTTTATGTATTTATTTTAAGCCCCCTAGGCTGGAATTGAACCCGGGACCCTTCAGTCCACAGGCCGATGCTCTAACCACTGAGCCACACGGGCAAGGGCTTATTACATTTTCATTGATTTTAGAGAGAGAGGAAGGGACAGGGAGAGAGGAACAGCCGTGAGAGAGAAACGTCCACATAAGTTGGCTCAAGCCGGCAACCTGAGCGTGGTGCCGACCTCCGGTGCAGGGGTCAGCGCTCAGCCCCCGAGCCCGCTGGCCGGGCCGCTGTTGGTTCTTACAGCCACAGAGGTCTCTGCGGGCCAGACACACTGAGCCGGCATTGGCGTGGGTGTTGGTTTGCAGGGATCGGCTTTGGGGATCGGACCAGCACCTTCTGCGGCACCCCGGAGTTCCTGGCCCCCGAGGTGCTGACCCAGGAGGCCTACACGCGGGCTGTGGACTGGTGGGGGCTGGGCGTGTTGCTCTACGAGATGCTGGTGGGCGAGGTGAGTGCGGGACCGGGCTGCCAGGGCCTCTAGGCGGGCGTGGCCCGTGCACCCCGCTGAGTCCGCCCCCCCCCTCCCCGCAGTGCCCTTTCCCGGGGGACACCGAGGAGGAGGTGTTCGACTGCATCGTCAACGCCGAGGTCCCACGGCCCCGCTTCCTGTCGGCGCAGGCGCTGGAGCTCATTCTGCAGGTAAAGGCCACAGCGTCCGGGGCTGCGCCTGTTGGCCGTCTTGGTTGCGGCTGTGCCATCACCGCCCGTCCTTGGGGCCCTGGGGCCCAGCTCAGGCAGGGTCCCTGGGGAGGCGGCAGTGCCTGGGCCGGTGCCCTCAGCACCTGTTTGCTTGCCCAGCTCCTCCAGAAGTGCCCGGAGAAGCGCCTGGGGGCAGGTGAGCAGGACGCCGAGGAGATCAAGACACAGCCTTTCTTCAGGGTGAGTGGCCCCCGCAGGGTTCCCAGTCCCCGTGCAGCGGGAGGTGTTGAGGGACCCCCTGGCCTGCCACTCCTGTCGCCTCAGGCCCCTCTGCTCTTCCCCAGACCACCGACTGGCAGGCTCTGCTTGCCCGTGCTGTCCAGCCCCCCTTCGCACCCACCCTCTGTGGCCCCACGGACCTGCGCTACTTCGAGGGCGAGTTCACGGGGCTGGCGCCCGCCCTGACCCCACCGGACCCCCGCAGCCCCCTCACTGCTCGCCAACAGGCCGCCTTCCGGGACTTCGACTTCGTGTCAGAGCGGTTCCTGGAGCCCTGAGGGCCTTTCCCCACGTCCTGTCCTGTCCCCCAGACTGTTAGAGCCTCACGCACCCACCC